GCTGTGTCGTGCGCCTTGTACCCCGAGCGGTTTCACCTAACGCTCAGCCGCCGTCTGAGAGCCTGGGATATCCCACCCCCGCCCGATCTCGAAGCTCGTTGGTCCTTGCTGCGTGCCGAGCTCGCCTCAGTCCGCCCCTCGTGGAGGTGGGCTGCGTGGAAATCCTTGGCTGGAGGATGGACCACCTCGTGTCGGATGCACGTCTCGCGTCACTCTCGGGACTGCATTTTTGGATGCGGAGGCTCTGACAGCATCAGCCACTACTTCCGCTGCCTTCGAATGAGGCACCACGTCGCCATGAGCTGGATGCGGCTTGTCTTTCCTGTGGAGCCCCTGCTTTGGCTTGGCCTCGGGAGTCCCTCGGAGTATGGCACGGAAGACTGTGAGCTGAGTCGAGCCCAGACGCTAGAGGCAACGGCCTCAGCGTTTCATATCTACCACAAAGCCAAAGATACCGTGCCTCCTGAGGCACACCTCACCTTTACAGAAGCCGAGCGGATTGCTGGTGCTGCGCGTTTGGCGCTTCGCGTCTAGTGCGGTCATCGGGAGTCCGCCTTCAGGGTACGTCCACTCCTCCTCCTCATCATCCTCATCATCATCATCATCATCATCATCATCCTCGCCCGCCTCCTCGTCCTCATCGTCGTCGTCGTCCGCCTCCTCCTCCTCCTCCACCTCCTCCTCCTCCTCCTCTTCCTCCTTTTCCTCCTTGTCCTCCTCCTCCTCTTCCTCCTTTTCCTCTTCCGTTTGGAACGAATACACAAAAAACCCGCCGCGGGCGCCGAAGTTTTGGCATGTTCAGTAAACGTAGTGTGGGTCGTGGGTGGGTCGCGGGCTCTCCACCCCCACCTGGAAAGAATTCAAAAACAGCCCGCCGCAGGCGCCGAAAGTTTTGATTTGTACACTGAACGCGGTTTGGGTCGCAGGTTTTCCACCTGGAACGAATGCAAAGGAAACCCGCCGCAGGCGCCGAAGTTTTGGGTTGTTCAGTGAACGTAGTGTGGGTCGCGGGTGGGTCGCGGGCTCTCCACCGTCACCTGGAAGGAATTCAAAAACAGCCCGCCGCTGGCGCCGAACATTTTGATTTGTGCTCTGAACGCGGTTTGGGTCGCGGGTGGGTCGCAGGTTTTCCACGTGGAACGAATGCACAAGAAGCCCGCCGCAGGCGCAGAACATTTTAGGTGGGTCGCGGGGTGGGTCGCGGATGGGTCGCGGGTGGATCGCGGTGGGTCGCGGGTCGGTCGCGGGCGCGGTTTGGGTCGCGGGTGGTTCGCAGGTTCTCCACCCGGAACGAATGCAAGGGACACCCGCCGCAGGCGCCGAAAATTTCTGGTGGGTCGCGGGGTGGGTCGCGGATGGGTCGCGGGTGGTTCGCGGTGGGTCGCGGGTGGGTCGCGGGTGGTTCGCGGGTGGGTCGCGGGGTGGGTCGCGGGGTGGGTCGCGGGTGGGTCGCCGGTGGTTCGCGGGTGGGTCGCCAGGGGAGTCTCGGGGTGGGTCGCGGGCGGGTCGCGGGCTGGGTTGCGGGTGGGTCGCGGGTGGGTCGCGGGGTGGATCGCGGGGTGGGTCGCCGGTGGGTCGCGGGGTGGGTCGCGGGTGGGTCGCGGGTGGGTCGCGGGGTGGGTCGCGGGTGGGTCGCGCGGCGGGTCGCGGGTGGGACGACGACAACAACAAACAACAAACAACAAACAACAAACAAACAACAAACAACAAACAACACACAATACACAACAAACAACAAACAACCAACAACAACCAACAACCAACAACAACAACAAGCGACGACGACGACGAGCGAAAGCGAGAGCGAGAGAGAACGACAGCAGGGCCACGAAGGACACGAAGTGGGCCACGAAGGGCGACAGCTGGGACACGAAGGGAATGCGTATGGGGCCACGCAGAGCGCGAACGAGCGGGGGCCACGAAAGGCAGATAATGCGGGGCCACAGAAGGCAACGATGGGGCCACTGAAGGTAGCAATTGGGCCACATGGGACAGTGATGGGGGCCACACACGGCGACAGCGGGGCCACGAAAGGCATGCACATGGGGCCCAAACCGGCGCGATCGAGCGGGGGCCACGAAAGGCATACGTATATTGGGCCGCGGAGGGCAAAAACGGGGCCACTGAGGGCAGCAACGGGGCCACGAAGGGCAGCGAGGGGGCCACGAAGGGCGACAGCGGGGCCACGAAAGGCATGCGTATGGGGCAACCACGGGCGCAAACGAGCGGAGGCCACGAAGGGCATACATATATGGGGCCACGAAGGGCAGCAAGGGGGCCACGAAGGGCCGCAACGGGGCCACGAGGGGCAGCGAGAGGGCCACGAAGGGCTGCAACGGGGCCACGAAACAAAGCGAGGGGGCCACGAAGGGCTGCAGCGGGGCCACGAGGGGCAGCGAGGAGGCCACGAGGGGCTGCAACGGGGCCACGAAAGGGCAGCGAGGGGGCCACGAAGGGCTGCAGCGGGGCCACGAAACAAAGCGAGGGGGCCACGAAAGGCTGCAACGGGGTCACGAAGGGCAGCGAGATTCTGGGTAATCTGTCAGGAAATCCTAAGCGTGAGCGCGACTCCTGGGTGCCTGGGCGTCGGGAGCGCGGCGCTTGAGTAAATTGCAAGAAAGTCCAACGCAAGGGCGCTATTCTATTGTAAATTGCAAGCAAGTCTCCAGCGCAAGCGCGACTCCAGAGCGCCAGGAGAGCGATTCCTAAATGAATTCTAAGGAAATCCCAAGCGAGAGCGCGACTCCTGAATAAAATGCGAGGAAGTCTCGGGCGGGAGCGGGGGTCCTGGCTCAATTGTAAGGAAGTCTCAGGCGGGAGCCGTTGTTGTTGTAGTCCGAGGGGCAGGCAGGGGGCCAGTTTGAGCAGGACATTTTTTTGACAAAAAACAAGGTGCGAGCCCCGGGGGGGGCACTTCAATTGAAAAAACAATGTGCGCCGGTGGGGGGGAATCAACAATAATTATTCTTAAGAGTGAGAGCTCAACAACAACAACAACAACAACAATCACTTTACCCGAACGCTCAGTGTTCTCACCAGTGCCAGGGTTTTCATGCGACGCCAGCCAATACCCCCACTTTGTGGGGGGGCAGTGCAAGCTCTACCAAATATCCACACGACTCTTCGCCACCACCCACACCCAGCTTCCCGCCCTATGACGTTCGGACACTTCACTTCGTGGCCTGCGGACGACCGTGGCTACTACACTGGCGTGGAGTACACACCCACAGAAGTTGTTAAGCCTACGTTCGTACACCCACAGAAGTTGTTAAGCCTTGTTAACCCACAGAAGTTGTTAAGCCTTCCACAAAACATCTGTTGCATATGATGCATATGGTACATGATACACATGATACACATGATACGTACTCACAAGATAGTTGATCACATCTTTAGGGCAAATTCCTGAGGGATGTGGGAATACACAAGAGAGAGAGGATATGGTTGTCCCGATGGTTGTCTCGATGGTTGTCCCGATGGTTGTCCTGATGGTTGTGGTTGTCCCCGGTCGTTGTCCCGATGATTGTCCGATCGTTGTCCCGATTCGTGTGATTTTATGATGCGCGGTGCTAAAATTCTTAAGAAGCCCAATGGTTTTTGGAGATTTCGGCGTGCGCGCGCGAAGAAAAAACGAATGTGTCCCGCATGGTATTATTTGACAGGGATGATGGCCCTGGCAGGTGCGCAACCGTTGTCGCAGAAGTTCGAAAAAGTTGCTCGCAAAAGCCCGTTTGACAGAAATGTTTAAAAAGTGTTGGGTTTCCTACGAATCCGCAAGAGCGCGCGGGATGAGATTTTGACATTTTTTTGTTGAAAAACCATTGGTTTTTTGATGTTTTTATGTTAAAATCGCTCCGAACACTAAGCTTTTGGAAGGATTTCGTCTTGCGCGCGCGAATGTCCACTTTACCTTATTTTTTGCAAGGGATTCTTGAAATTTGATTATATTAGAACAAGAAATGTCATTTTCTATTGTTTTTTGCAAGGGAAAGCGGATTACAACAAAACAACCGGATCCTGTACACACCCTCTTTTCTGAGGCTTCCTCACGAAAATGATGAAAATGTAGCTGCGGCCTAGGCGGCGCAGGGGGGGCGCGCACCAGGGGGCCCAACAATAATCATTCTTTAGAATAAATAATGTTCAACAACAACAACACGAATCCTCATCGCGGAATTCCACTTCAGCCACGCACCCAGGGACAGTGAATGACTGTTCGGTTCAGCCCCCTCATTCTGATAGCCGTCTGGGACTCCCCAAGCGTGCCACACTGCAGTTCCTGGGACTTCACCGCCGCGGATCAACGTGACCGGTGCGTCTGGACAGCCCTAAATCGTGCCAAGGCACCATTTTTGGGACTTCAACCCAGCGAATCCACGTCAATGGTGCTGCCTGACAACCGTTCATAGTGCCAGAATGCCGTTCGTGGGATCTCGGCCACACGATGCCTTGAAACTGCTGCAAACTTCAAAGACGAATACGCGCGGCGCTAAAGCGAAAACCGCATTTTCAAAACGAACCGCCCTCCATGCTTGATCGTACTGCAAACTTTTAAGACGAATGCGCGCGACGCCGAGGCGAGAACCACAGTTTCAAAACCACCCGCCCTCGATCTGTGGAAAAAACCGAACAATTGTAAGACGAATGCATGCGGCGCTAAGGCAAGAACCACATGCTGGAAGCAAGACAACGTTTTCCACTCGCGGAATTGCTGCACCTTTCCAGTTTCAGGATCACACAAGGCGACGTTTGATTCGACATGTTCGACTTGTTTTACCGACACGTCTGGGGGCGCGGCGCGACAGGGGTGAGGGACGAGTTTACTCATAAGAAACACGGGTGTAGGAAGAGGAGGATGAAGCGGACGAGGAGATGGATGGGGGAGGAGGAGGAGGAGGAGGAGGAGGAGGAGGAGGAGGAGGAGGAGGATGAGGACGACGACGACGACGTCCTCCTCCAGGGCCGTACTCTTCGATCCTCGATCGACGACGGGTGGCCAG